TTTTGAAATTTCAGTCAATTCAACCCTTTTTGGCCCCACCCATCAGCCCTGGGGATTCAGTCAGGGCTCATATGTGCATACTATCAAACTGCTACCCAATACTGATAATGCTTACCTAAATTGAATTACTTCCAATGGAAATTAAACAAATGTTGGTCCAAAATGTGATTTCCCTATATAAACTATAGTAAAGTTTACCCCCTCCCCAGGGGGAAACGTGAGACCCCAGGGTCAAGAAATTCACAATTTCGGTAAAGCACCTTAAGACCCTTCCATCTATGAAGAGTATTTGATTCTACCATATCTGGGTCTTGAGAAGAAGATTTTTGAAATTTCAGTCAATTCAACCCTTTTTGGCCACACCCATCAGCCCTGGGGATTCAGTCAGGGCTCATATGTGCATACTATCAAACTGCTACCCAATACTGATAATGCTTACCTAAATTGAATTACTTCCAATGGAAATTAAACAAGAGGCCCAATGGGCCTGCATCGCTCACCTGGTATTAATCTCACACTTGTAATCTTAAAAGTGGACTAAAATACAGCTACAGGCAGAATATCAGTGTGACCTTGAATGTCAAACAATGACATTAGGTTGAAAGTTGGTCAAGGTCATTCATTTGAACAAATTTGGTAGCCCTGATTGCTACAGGCCAAATATCAGTACCCTGGGCCTTTTGGTTATTGAGAAGAAGTTGTTTGAAAATTTTAAGACATTTGACACCTGTGACCTTGAAAGTAGTTAAGGTCATTCATTTGAACAAACTTGGTAGCCCTTCATCCCAGCATGCAACTGGTCAAATATCATCACACTGGGCATTTTGGTTATTCGGAAGAAGTTGTTTAAAGGTTTTGAACATATTTGACCCCTGTGACCTTAAACATAAGTCAACGTCATTTATTTGAACAAACCTTGTAGCTCTTCAACCCAGCATGTTAATGGACAAATCTCATCACCCTAGGCCTCTCGTTTATTCAGAAGAAGTTGTTTAAAGGTTTTAAACATATTTGACCCCTGTGACCTAGAATATAAACCAAGGTCATTTATTTCAACAAACTTGGTAGCCATTTATCCCAGCATGTTACTGGCCAAATTTATGCACCCTACGCCTATTGGTTATTCAGAAGAAGTTGTTTATCTGTTTTAAACATATTTGACCCCTGTGACCTAGAATATAAACCAAGGTCATTTATTTGAACAAACTTGGTTGCCCTTTATCCCAGCATGTTACTGGCCAAATTTAGGCACCCTAGGCCTCTAGGGTATTCAGAAGAAGTTGTTTAAAGGTTTTAAACATATTTGACCCCTGTGACCTTGAATATAAATCAAGTTCATTTATTTAAACAAACTTGGTAGCCCTTCATCCCAGCATGTTACTGGCCAAATTTAAGCACCCTAGGCCTATTGGTTATTCAGAAGAAGTTGTTTAAAGGTTTTAAACATATTTGACTCCTGTGACCT